TTTTTTTTTAGCTCCCCATTTTGATGAACAATGCAGAAGAGTTGATCATCCAAGTACTTGTATTTGTTGTAAATGTAAGGAAGATGAAAACAGTGACTGGTCTATAGATAAGTCAATTTTGAGGAGAATTACATATCCCCCTGATTCTATAAAAAATATTGAATATATCTTAAAACGAGTAAATTCCACAACCAAACAAAATATTTTAAAATGGATTAATATCAATGAAGACATCTTGGAACAGGATTTAAAACTTATCGGTGGTATGAAACAAAAACTACAAATTCACATTATTAACTAATTAAAATAAGTGGTAAGTTACGTACAATTGATAATGATTTCTTATTTGAAATTAAGATCCAAGTGCAAAAGAAAACACGGAAGAAACTGTTTTATGCAAATGTTCATGGGTACAACTAAACATGTCTGTATTGCAAAAATATTTGCAAGAATCTTTTTCAAAGGACGTAATTATTTTACCTAAGGACAACTTTATTTATAAGTAGTGTATGCAAAAGTGTTGGCACTGAAATTTCTTTATCAAATACAAACACTTAAATAAAAATAGATAATTTTAGTTTTCCATAAAAGCGCAATGACAAGAACTTTCTATTTCAAAATATCATTTTATTAATTATGTTTCTTCGTACATATGTAGATTGATTTAAAAGATACAAAAATAAAAAATACAATGAATTCATTATATCTTGTTTGAATGTTTTAGGCTTTGATTATTTGCTTCTCCTGTTCCTTTATTTCTTCTTTATTGCTTCTCGCATTGCGTCGACCATCAATCAATGTTGCCTTACCTTCTACCTGTGTGGTCTCAGCTTCTTTTTCTGGTGACAATTGACTGGAATCGGTCTCACGAGGCGACTTATTGGTTTGTGCCAAGTCATGCGCTTCAGGAATAATTGGACTGCCAAGAAGGTTGTATTTATTCCTCAGAGAAGTTTCTGGATGTAAATAATGCATTCCTCTCAAAGTTGGATGATAATGAGGTCTGTGACTATAAGATGGAATATTCATATTGATAAGAGATTTTGTTTTCCCTTGTGGTCCTGGTTTTACATCCTATAAACAATTAACGAGCATTAATTATCACATTAGACAATCATTTCCTGTTTTTCTGTTTGTTACTTACGCTTGTATGAATATGAGGCATCATTAAGGATGATCTAGCATCATACGGTGATGGATAGGACACAAAAGGCATCATATTCATAGCCATTGGTTCAATGTTTTGACAAGTACATTTGTTTAGTGGATTATGGAAATGATTACAAGCTGAGAGTGAAGGAACTTGAACGAAAGTAGCATGTTCAGGTTCAGAGATGAACATCAGCTCTTGATATCTAGGGACAACTGGCATCACAGTTAAAGCTTCTTGACGTGCTGGCAAAGATTGTGGAGGTTTTTCAATATTCATATGATTTGGTGTAACACTTTCAATTTCCATTTTAGGTGATGGAGTTGGCTCCGGTTGTGGAACTGTTTCTTCAAGCGGTTGAACGATCTGGTTTGCGGAATGCGGTTCGGAAGAAGGTTGAACAATTTGCACGTTATGAACTGGTTGGAGCATTTGTTGAGGAAGAACTATATTGGCTTGAGATAAAGATTGAGAAGCTGTTTGGATCATTTGTTGAGGAACGACTATATTCGCCTGAGGTAAACTTTGTGGGACAGGTTGAACAAAGTTTAAGGTTTGGACTTGTTGAGGAACTAATTGAGCCTGTACCATAAATGGAACATTTTGAACAAAGTTCTCATTTAAAGCAACCTGTGGAGATGCAGGGTCTATTTGAAGACAGACTGCAGCTTTCTTTGATCTATCCTTTTGTTCACCAGTTTCTTCAATTTTCAGGTCTTCCTTAATGGCCTCTACCTTGGCATCCTCTGCTAGCGATTTCTTCTCAATGGTCTTGTGCGTTGGTCCAGCGTGGATCAGAGTGACACTCACCCATAGAAGCAAGAAACACACGTTGAACTTCATTGTTTCCTTCTTCGTGACTTTAAAGTTTTAATTAAGGATCGATTGATCGAATTTCATTTTTATAGGGATTCAATGACGCATGATTTCTGCTTGTACTCGTGATTTTGTAATAGCGAGTTCTACGCAACTTTCAGATATGCAATATTACTGAGAATGCTGACTGCGAATAATTTCATCACAATGTATATCATAAAAATTTGGATATAGTTTTTTTTTGTTAAGGTAAAGATTTAAATTGAATATTTATTTATTTGTATATTAATTTTTTTAAAATATAAAAAGTCTATATCTTCTTTCATTTATTAAATTTTCTATTTATTAATAAAATATATTAAATTATATATATTATATATATTAAAAGTATATACTAAATTTATGATTAAATAATTTAATTCAGTACCTTACATATAAATATATTTTAATATACTTTTTCTCTATATGTATTTTGTATGAATGTACTTTGGAGGAATTAATCATCATTGTATTGCTTTCAAAATATCAATAAATTATTTAAATAAACTAAATATAGTAACTGTGAATAATTGTTATATATCGTATGTTTTTTGTAATAATAAATCTTTCTTTTTTTTTTAAGGTATCCATTTCCCCAAAATATTTGCAAGATTGCAAATTACAAAATATGAATCAATCATAAGCGCAATAATCCTTTATTTTGCTGAATCTACATATGTTTTGCTCCAAAACTTTTCAGTTAACGGAAGTAATCTTCTTTTATTATTTTTTACAATTATGTATATGATGAAAAAAAAGCTCTGATAAAGTTTTTAATATTATTGTTAGGAAATAATAAGAAATATTTTTTTAGAATAAAACCAATTTGGAAACGGGTTGTAAAATTAAAAGTAAGATGAGCAATAGCAGAGTGGCGCAGTGGAAGCGTGCTGGGCCCATAACCCAGAGGTCCGTGGATCGAAACCACGCTCTGCTAAGTGAAGGTCAGTTGCTTTCATTTTTTTTTTTTTTTTTTAACTGGAAATATATTTGAGCAGCAAAATATGTTTGAATAGAAACATTGAATAATTTTTGAATTTTGAACTAATTAAATATATCTGTTTTATTTGAATAATTCATAAAAGTGTTCGAACATTTGTGAAGACTCTAATGTATTATGTGTTTTTTACAAAATTTCATGAACATTATATGAGACTTGATCATTATAATTATATTCTTAATTAGTAGAGCTGTAAACAAATGTAATGATATTTATTCAGATACTACAAATTATAATCTACACTAATCTACTAAAGTAACTTATAACGCGTTCAAAATAAAATAGATACGTTAATAGTTATTAATGATACATTTAAAGTTTTTTTATTCTGTAATGCTGTTTATGGTAGAAAAAATTAAAAAAATATCTTCGCCCAACGTGGGGCTCGAACCCACGACCCTGAGATTAAGAGTCTCATGCTCTACCGACTGAGCTAGCCGGGCTGATGAAATGTGATTCAATTTCATACAAAAAAAAGTGAAAAATTTTTTTTATTACGGAACGTTAACTATTCTCGGTCATTGAACAAAAATTAAAAATCATGTTTGCTTACAATAAATTATTTATTCGTGCAGTCGCTGGTTACAACTATTCAAGCATACATCTGTTAATTCTCCGCCGATTGAAACCTTTTTTGTATAGCTGCTTTCATTCATTATCCTCTCTCAAGTTACTTAACGCAATAGATATTTAGCTTTAATTCAATTAAACCTAAATATTTACCCTACCCTATTAAACCTAACTGTTTACAAGAATATATTCATTCGTAAATTACAGTATGGCACGCAAAGCTAATAAATAGATACTTAGATCATAGATTTAAAAAATATACACATTTGTATTATGGAATATATCCTCGATCTTTGATGGTCCCTCTTGGCAGCTATCATCCCCCCCCCCCCTCCAGAAAAAATGTTAGTCTCTTTGTGCGTTTATTAAGCACTTATTAAGCACTGGGTTACAGAATTTCGTCACGCTCTTTCAACATAAGTATTTCTTTTATCGAAGAAAAATTAATGTTTCGAGGACATACCGAATCCGGGACATTTTTTTACAACGTGTGACAATTTCTGATAAATACGATCCAAAAATGCTTTGAAACGCTTATACACACGCTCGAATTTTGATTTTCGTCAAGTAAGTCACCATCGTGATACCGATCTCCGCCTGTGCAAAATTTGATATTTTGCTAGAATTTGCGAATTTGCATCCGACGAATTGTTTCCTAATAACGTTAATTAAATCTGACGCAAGTTCCACTCGAATCAATGCCAATTAATCCTGTTAATTGATTCTGTTAATTGAGTTACCTCACATTCTAAAACTAACATAAGTGTATTTTGAACACCATCTTACGCCCAAAGAAATGTACCCTAAAACAAACTCGAGCTAAGGCAAAATAATTCTAACATCGTGCATCGTAACATTTGATTCTCCGTCAGTTACTCGAACGAGGTGTGCAAAATGCATTTTGCAACGAATGAACACATGTATCGTTGTACCATAGTTAAGTATTAAATTTAACACCATTTAGTGGACTAATGTTATCAGCGACGATAGTATGAACAGAACGAAGAAATTTTGCCCGATGGAGGCAACCGAACATTCCGAGGGACAATCGAACGAACCATCCGTTTTATTCTGCAACAGGAGATTCCTCACTAACTTTTTACCCTCGCAGGAGTTCTCGATCTTTATGAACCGAATTTTTCGAGCCTCCAGAAATTGCTCCAGCTCGACTCTGCATCTCCACTTCAAAGGGTTCCCGGAGAATTCGACGATGTACACGTTGGACATCTCGTTCAAGTCGCTTGTGAATATGCACCTCAGATCGTTGCCCTCGAGATTTAAGTAAGTGAGTCGATTCAAATATCGAAACGATCCGGACTCGATGTATTTGATCGAGTTGCCGCGCAGATCCAATCGGTCCAAGTTCGGCAAAACGAACCAGGAGGATCCGATCATTTCCAGAGGATTGTCCTGTATCGTCAGATTCTCCAGTTTCTTCAAATTGTTGAACGCACCGTCTTCTATAGTAGTCAATCCAGAATTTCTTATTACGAGTTCTCGCAGATTTGCGAATTTCACTAGAGAGCCTGAGGGTAGCCTCGGCAGGTGGCCTTCGTTGAATTCGATGGCTGTCACTTGCGACGGTATCGACTGCAGCAACAACAGATTACCACCTGTGCATCGATAACGGTGTTCTGCTGTATTTTCGTCGATAGTGCAGGTCCCTTCTACGGTCTCGTTCCTCAGCGTGGCGCTAGTTGTCACCGGAACTGGTGGGCTAGTAGTGACCTCTTTCGGGCTTTCCGCGGTGGCGTAACAATCTTCCTTCAGGAGGAGCGAACCTTTGTCGTATTTCATGCGTCGCGAGTCCAGGAATTCTGCCAGTTTTGATCCACAGAGGCAGCTCCACGGATTGTTAGAAACGTCCAGAAACGACAGGTAATGCAGTCGACGGGCTATGTACTCTATACCGATGCAGTTCATGGCATTGTCGGACACGTCTAGATTAGTAAGGTACGGTAGGTGATCGAACACGTCGTTTGTAATTCTGTGTATGTTGTTATGAGACAGGTCTAAGTGCCGTAGGTTATGAAGACCGTAGACCATCTCCGAATTAATGGACTCCAGTTGATTGCTACGGAGCGACAGGTACTCCAAGTTACGAAGATTTGAAAAAGCGCGCGGTTCAATTCTTTCGATGCCGCAGTCTCGGAACTCCAACCTCGATAGGTAACCGTCGAAACGCGCGAAAGTGTTTTCTGGAATCCTCTTGATGTTCGACAAGATAATTCGAATCTCGCGCGCCGTCGAAGGTACCAAGCCTAATTCCTCGATCGACGTGATGGCTCGACAAACGTAGATCGAGTTTCCATCGGGTTTCTCGCGATAACAAGTACCCATGTAAACAGGAGATGGCGATGAGACGACATGAATTTCCGGTGGTGGAGGCGGTGGCGGTGGTCCGACTATGGAGACGTTCGTTTGCTTAAGGCTGTCTTCAAAAGAAGTCCAATGCACTCTTCCAGTCGTGAACGAAGTATTTTGGACGATGGTCTACGTACAGAAAAAGAATGACAGTTATTTTAAAAATGATAGATCATAATTATTATATGCAACTATATTCGAATTCAAGGGAATTATAGTGCGAGAGTTGGTAAAAGTTAGGTGATTCTGGTTTGTAATTTCTTTGTAATTTCTTTCTTTCTTCTGGCTATTGTTTGTAATTTCTAGAAATTAAATCTCCATCACCAGAATGTTTCTGTTTGAGAAATTTGTATTTGTATAAAAGTATAAAAGTATATTTATAGAGCTCGGAGGTAAACTTTTTAAATTAGACAGATCAGCGACTAACGTAGTACCTGTTGCTGGCGCCAATCGGTGCTGCCATTTGAAATCTCGTTCTCGTTCGCGTAACATCGGCCGGCGTTAATTTCGAATCCAACGTTCCTCTGGGTGAGAAAGTTTTGAAGGTTCGCCCTGCAGGTGCAAAACCACGGGTTCCCCATCGCGTCTAACCTTTCCAATTTTTTCAGGTCGGCCAGTTCCTCGACGGGTATGCACCGGAACAGATTGTACTGGATGTCGAGGTGTCGCAGGGAGTCACCGACGTGCCACAACGCTGCCCTCTCGATCTGCTCCATGCCATTCCGCTCCAAGATCAATTGCTGAAGGCTGACGAGATCTCGAAACCAATTGGCACCGACGACTGGTAACCGATTGCCGACCAATGAAAGCCGCTCCAGCTTGTGCAGCCCAGCGAACGCCCCGTTCTCGATCGTGGTGATTCCACAGTCGATCAGTTCCAGTGTCCTTAGACTGTTGCCAAACCTGAAGAACGCGTACCTCGGCAACGTGTCTATCCTCAAGCCGGACACCTCGATCCAGGAAGTTTTGTCTGGAAGTCTGTCCAGCGAGGTGAACACGTTCGTTTGAAATTCGTTTCCGCGAATGAGCGTGCGTTCCTGCGACAGACGTTTTCTTTTTCTCTTTTTGAAAATCATAAAAATTTTCTACAGTCGTATACGATCTGCACGCTTACCCTGTCAAAGTCGTGCAATCGTTGAGTAGTGAGAGTAGAGGGGAGAACGGGAAAGCCAATGGGAGTCATGCATTGATACTTCTTGCAGACGTTGATTTGCCGCAGACATTCGACTTCCTGGACGATGGAACGGGATCGGAGGTATTGATCGAGTTTCCGCCGGCACTCGCAGAGCCAGGGATTCCCGTCGACTCGCACGGTCTTGAGCGACCTTAGGTAGAGCAGTTCGTCGATCGGCAAGCAATTGAGATCGTTATCGCGCAGGCCCAGAACTTCCAGTCTGGGCAGCATGCGGAACAGATCGGGCTCGACGTGTACCAGGCCGCATCTATAAACAATCCGGACGTGCATCGCATTTATTACGATTATTACGAGGCCTATTATCATTTTTACGTAACGACGTACGCGATTTACAATGACGCGAGCGAGGGCGCTGGCGTTTCGCAAAGAAGGAAATGTCGCGCTTCCGCAAAGTCTTTTCTTGCAAATAACCCCGACCCACGATGTCGGTGTGTTTTCTTGGGAATCCTTTCAGGCCGTGACATCATGCGTTTTCAGAACATGTTCCCTGTTAACAACTGGGTCGTCGATCATTATGCTGTTTTTATGTAACCGATCCCGTTTTCAATCTGACTTGGATTTTGTGTGAAGCAGTCAGGATAGATCCCAAGAATAGCGTGGGTAATTTTGATCGTTTCTATTTTGAATTTTATTTCATCTCTCTCAATACGCGAACAGCATACGTATGTATATATACGTATACTGTATGCTCTTCGCATTACGGTTTGAAAAAAACGATTTTCTGTCAGCTTTTAAAAGTAATTTTCACTCGTTCGAAGGAGTGAATATACCTCACCTGTCCAAGATGAGTCTCCGCAAGTTTGTCAGAGGACGGAACCAGACGGCCCTAGCTACGTGGATCTTGGTACCGTGGAATATGAGCCACTCTAGGCTATCCAGACCTGCGAAAGCGTCTGGACTGATGAAATTGACTTGACAGTTGTAGAAGGAAAGCCTGCGGAGGTTTTTAAAACGCCAGAACGCGTTGTCCGCGAGAAGGTTGAACCGGGACACCGTGAACTCTATCCAGTCCGCGTCGCTGGATATCTCGTCGAGATCATTCAGGTCACCGTGTGTGCAAACGTAGGCGGTCGACCGTTCGTCATTCAGAATCGGCGCTAGGCTGCATTTGCACTTCACTTGGCCAATTAGGGCGACCAACGCCCAGAGTAAAATCAGATGCATTGCCTTTTTCCGATTCTAGACGTGCCGCGTCACCTGAACATATATTTTCTGCGATGAGGCCTCCTCAATGCCGTTCTCCAGAAATAGCAGTGCACGCGAGTGAGATTTGGACGCTAGAAAATAGCTCTATTGGGAAACAACAAGGTTCGAGCCTTAAAGGAGGTTCAGCTCTTCTTAAATATCTCGGTCAAGTCTTCAAACATTCAAGCTATGTTTGGAGAGTTGGCTTCTGACTTTTTCGAAAGCTTCGCGTTTGCCATTTGAATTTATTTCAGCATGGAGACGGTTAACGACATTCAAGAGGAGGAAGCGGAGCGTCACACTTTCCACGGACCGAAAGCGCATTTTTGCTTCGCCGGGCACCGGAAGCGCCACTTGCCGCTACTCACCATGATCACGTTCAAACGATTCAATCGCCTCTAAACGTTTCACTTTTAACGCTACTCCGTCGCGTATTATGTTTCCAATTGTCCCATGCACACTTCACTAATCAGCTGATCTTCTCTTGCCTGATCACTTTCAAATTATAACGAACTGATTGAATCATTGATAACTCCGACGTCCTCGACTATTTTCCAGATAGCATAGCACAGAGTACACGAACGTCGATCATGAAACGAGATCAATTATCTTGGTACTACGATTAAGACGACTTCAATTGAAGGCTACGAGTTTTTACCAATGGGATCCACTGTTCCATCCGTGTGCACGACTATGTAATTGAATTAACGACCGAGTGATTAGAAGTTGGAGAGTGAGAATTGAATTGAAGTTGGGTGAAGTGAAGCTCTGTGGCTGCGCCTGTGTCACGAAGAAGCTTCGGCCAGGTGACGAATCGATGGATCGAAATGAAACGACGCGACTGAGCTGGCGATCCTCGCGCTTCCTCGTTATATAAACTTCTAAGGCCAAGGTTGCCCTTGTCTCCCGCACCGGTTGTAGGTACACACGCCGATTCCCGACCTATCTTTAGCACACGCCGCTCTAGTTTGGCAGGAAAGTTTGCGTTTACCATGATGCGTTTGCCAGACGTATGACGCGTTGTTCCGCTGGTCGAATTACCAGCAGGGTCTAGGTTACCTTCGTAGGACTTGGCAGAGACATCGGGAGAGATCTTCACGGACTGTTATGCCTTGGTCCCTCGCACTGTCACTTTATTTAAGCCGTTGATTTCCCATCCGATGCAAAAAATTATTACCACTGGCGATTGATCATTGAACGAATTATTTCTATATTTTTTTTGCATATCCTAAGCATCTCCCTATATTACGTTCGTCTGTTTTCACTTTTGCGAAATTGTCTGGTACAACTTCCACTGTTTATTAGAGAAACCCAATATTTTAGATTAGTATTTTACATTTCTTTTTCTCTTTTATATATATGTAGTACGTGGATAATATCTCAGGAAAAGATTTAAAGTTACAAAGTCAATTTTCTTCTTCTGACGAGCCTTGGTTTTTTTTTCAGATCTTCTCCCAAGCATGTTTTACGCTTCCGTGATGACCCACAATGCAAACTCGGATGATTATATTTTATTGCATCGTAACACGAAGCATTCTCATCTCGTAATAAGGCCACTTGTAACATTTTCCCTTAACTTGCTACTTTGAGGATATTTTTGTTCAACAAAACGTCAACATGGTTGGTTCATTTCTTTGTCAAATAGATCCAGCGACGAGTTAATGCTCGCGTATCTTATCTATAGCCATATGTCGAACCGTATAATTTAGATAGTTTGCCTCTGAATAAGTAGCCAAAAGTGTCACGTCCCTTTTCCATCTGATTTAACGCTATTGTTTTACACTGTTTAGTTTCGATGGGACGTTGATATCGCTAATTGTAAAGCAAACGTACTGACTCACAGCAGAAAACTATATACACGTGTATGCTCCACCTATTGTTCAACTCAAGGACAAGTCGACCCACCCTCGTGGTTACGTAAGAAATATTCCACCCTGTCTGTCGAGGGTCACTCCTAATTGTTTCAATCAATTTATTTAGAATTGGTCGGTGCAACATTTATTTTTCACACGAAATTTCATTAGGACCCTGAGAAGAGATTATATCATGATTATATTGCTGAAGTTTGAAATGAATCTGACGATTCCCTCGCAATTCAACGCACGCTCCTCAACTCATCCATTGCAATCTCAGATTTTGTGAAACTTTCTGGTTCCAGGTTCCTTAAAATGGGAACGTTTTTATAGTTTGCCTATGGTAAGTGTATGCCAAGTATTTTCGTGAACTACCAAAATACTTTAGGACAAAAAAGAGAAAAGAAAAATTTTTACCAAAATAACAAGTATTATTTGATATAAATTTTTTTCCAGATCTCCGGATCGACTGACATTCACGCGCATTATAAGTTGCGTTGCGTATTTGTGCTCCATGGTGATTAGCAGCGTCGGCCTGCTACGTCGTCTATCCATCCATCCATTTTGCCCATCCAAGTCGAAGACGATGCATCGTCATTGCAACCGGCAGTCTCTCGCGGACTGTTGTTCGCGGCGCATGCAGTTCCGCGTCGGTTCGCGCCTTCTCTCAGCGTGCTGCGTTTCAAGGATGGCAGATAAAAGAATAGACTGCTGAATTGTGATCGACATTGTAACGACGCTCGATCGGTAACAACGTAACGACAACGTTGAAAACAGGATCCGGTGAGTGACGTGACGTGAGTAATTTTTTCTAATCGTCACGATCCCTCTGCCCGATGCTAACTGTTAACGTAATTGCTTCTAGCTGCATCTAACCGTCCTGTAACATTTATTTTAATCGGCCAATTTAACACGAACCCGAAATGGCATTTGCGTGGTAAACCATGGTTCTTAGAATTGAGAGGGAGACCAGTAATTTGTATTCACTTTAAAATACAGTTCGATATAAATTCTCGATTGGAAGATAGGAATTATCGATGCAAAATGCTCTTTGCTTCTTAATTTTATTTCGAATTGTTTACGTCTTCTGGGAAGAGCTGAAGCACATCGTGGATACGGAATCAGCAACGATCGAGACTGAAGGAATTCCTTGAGAGCAGAAAGACAAGATTGAGTCGAGAATTATCTGACACTAACACATTTAGCATTGGTACCGTTAATTAACAAGATTATCAGTCTCGAAGTGATAGAGATTTAGAGGCATTTAAGCTAACTCTGAAAACTCAGCGCCCGGAGAACCACAGAATGTTGACAGAAACGTGACAGACGAATTGGTTGCAGGTGAGGTAACTGAAATTCGAATCAAAGGCAGCGAAGGAGAAAGAACTGACGAAAAAAAAGAAAAAGAAGAAATGGATTCTCACGACAACGAGACAGGGTCCGAGCTTCGCGATCCGTGGTTAGATCTACGTGGGATGCCACAGGACGTAATCACGCCAGGTGGGTAGAAGCGAACAGGTATTTGGAGCGCGACAGGAGCTCTCCAGGAGAATGTTCTCTGCAGCTGGCTTCCATCACAGGGCGCGGGGATTTGCATGTTACCTAATGCACGCGCACGGCAAATGAAATTAGCGGCGATTAGGTCAGAAGGTCACCTAGTTCGCGTGTACCAAGGTCGGCCGAGCTGGATGGATCGTACATGTATATACGTGCGTGTGTGCACCTTCTAATCGGTAAAAAAGCCATGACGATGTGTCACATGCGCGACATGTTTCCTTTTCTTTTCTTTTTGCCATTCTGTAGAATGTTGGAAGATCTTTCTCTCTCTCTCTCTCTCTCTTTCTGAAGATGACTAGAACTCTTCCTTCGATACGTTTTCTGACTAGTCACGGGATGGACAAGTAAAATTGGATCTAGCATCTGTTCACCAGGTACCATTTACTGTGCACGTGACGTATTATGTAAAACATATTCTGAAATTTCATTAGCATTCTCAACAAGACTGAATGAGACTCAATTTAAAAACAAGATACTCAGTGTGTATTTGGTCACGTAAGAAATTAGTATACAGCGTGAAACTCTTTCAGAAGTCCTGAAACAGACTACCTACGTTATCACGGTGTTATTATCACGGGATTGTACGGTCGATTATTACAAAGGGAAAATACACCATCGATCGAGCAACCGATTGTTTCGAGTGTGATGGACACGAAGCGGCCTGATACCTAGCTAAGGGACGAGCCGACGAAGGAAGTGAGGGAGAGGGAGAGGGAGAGCCAGGAGAGGTCATTGCAGCGGAATAACGTGGATTGGAATGGCATGGACGTAGCCAGTTCGCATTGAACTGCCGAATCGCGCGGATCGTTTTGATTTTCCTCTCTCTCTCCCTCTCTCTCTCTCTCTCTTTCTCTCTCTCGCGACCGGTTCGTTTCTTCGCCCATTTACTGTTGACACAGCCACCAGTAAGCCACTGCCGTCGATAACGGACCCTAAAATTGGATACCTATGTGCAGGTGCGGTCACGACGAGATTATGTCACGCTTCAGTGTATATATACACGTGCATGTACGAAAAGACGTAGGGGTTTCTGGTGGAGATCGAACCGATGTATACCTATATATGAAACGAGTCACGTTATATGGGATATGGATAATGGAGACGCCACGTACACGTGACACTTATCCGAGTCGATTTGGAGGGCGTTCGAGAGGAAAGACAACAGAGATAATAAAAGTTCACCGCGCGACCCGTTGGATCGTTTACGCGGGTGTCGCGTGTGTGTGGGCCGTTTGGTGTGGACCCGGTGGCGCGGCGGTGCCCGTCTGAGTTGCTGCTCCCGTTGACAAAGTGTAGGCCGTAGGAGAAACAAGCCTATCATCGCCACACCCTACGGCACAGACGTGAAAAACCTTCGGACCCGGTGGAGCCTGTATCTGTCGATGACGATGATCCTCTCTTTCTCTTCTGCTCGACGTATTTTAACGCCTGTTGGAGCCGGTTGTTCCATTCGAGCCAGCCTATCAAAAACTTTCCCAAAACTAATTCCCAATTAATTTCACTTGTAATTTTCATCCTTTGATCTGTCTCACCTGTCGAAGTTGCTAACCGCCCTGCCTTCATCTGTTCTAGATAAAGATAGATCCGTGCAACGTTAATGAACGTAAATGAACGAAGATGATCCTGACGTCGAGCAAATGTAGTACAAGCCCGCTAACAAACCGCAGAACACGATCGGCCTGATCGTTTGCAATCAACGTATAAACGATAGACGAGAGATTATCGAGACTATCGG